ATGTTCATTTATTTATTTTGAGAGAGAGAGAGAGAGAGGAGAGGGAGAAAGAGAGGGAGAATCCCAAGCAGGCTCCAAGCTGTCAGCACAGAGCCCCACGCGGGGCTCGATCTCACGAACCATGAGATCACGACCTGAGCCCAGATGGAGAGTCAGACGTTTAACCGGCTGAGCCACCCACGCGCCCCAGAACCGAACGGTTTCTAAAAGTGGCCCGTTCTTACCTGAGATGCTTTTGTAAAACGGGGCTCTGGCTTTTCGGTGCAGAGTACATAGTAGGGAAGGGATAGGGAAGGCGGGGAGACCTGTTGAGGAGGCAGCTGGAAGGTACATGTTCCTTCTACTCCTGGGACAGCGGTGTCTCTGGGATGAACGGTCCCCAGGTGCTCAGTTGACTGAGCCTGAGTCATGAGTCAAGGAAGGGGAAGGGTGAGTAGGGCCCCTCCGGGTTTGCTTGTGGGAATCAACCACTACCCGCCCCCCCCCAAACTACATACAAATAGAAGCCTCCAGAAAAAGAGATGGGGCAGCGGCAGGAGGCAGCGTTGCAAGTCGAAGAGCCAGGGGAACACAACAGATGATTCTGGCATGGCTTTGAAGCCTGGCCCCACCTAGGTGCGTGAGGAACATTCGGGCTCCGCGGCTAACAGTGCGTCTTCCGTGTCCCAGCCGGATGACCTTGGGCGAGCTGCTTACCCTCTTCTGTATAATGGGGACAATAACAGTACCCGGGGTTGTTGGGACCTGTAATGAACTGATCCATGAAAGGGCTCAAAACGGTACCGAGGTTGTAGCCTCAATGAACTGATAGGACAGCAGAGGTCAGAAAAGCGTATAAACAACCGTAACTTGATGTGATAAAGCTGTCACGCCAAGCGGGACCTGTGCCTGGCTCTGCGCCCAAGGGCAGCCTCTGCTTGCCTCCTGCCAGTACTGTGGTTCCCACTGGCTCTTCTGGTCTCCCTTTGCCACTGCCTGTGAGGTCCCTGTAGTCGGGAACTTGAGGTGGCCTCAGCGAGATGCCCGTTCTGGGCGAGGCGCCGAGTTAGGTACCGAGACAGGACTGATCTGAATGCCGCTCCCAGAGGAACAGAGAGGACACGGTCCGCGTCCACCTCACCGTCCCTGCCGCTGCTGTAAGGACCACCGAGCCCCAGCCCGGTGCGGGGTGACTGTGGGCGGGCTGTGGCCCGCGGAAGGTGGTCAGCGACCCGCGCGGAGCTCAGAAGTTCAGTCCCAAGCTCAGTGTTTACAGGACCAGTCAGAGGGAGGGCCGGGGTGGGGGGGTGATGCCTGAGGAGGGAGAACGGCTTCCCATTCTGGGAATTCCAAAAGGGATGGTTCCAGAAGGCGGCCTTCAGAGCTGGCCTCATTTCTGTGACTGAACAGGTGACCTAGGATTCCGGTTATGGGTGCCTTAGTCCTCCAGGAGTGGGACCTTCTCGTCTCCTTGCCTCCTCTGTAACACAGGGGGGCAACGCGATCATGTAGAATAAATAACCTAGAATCTTCGGCCCCTGGTGCATGTCACCTAAGCTGTGCAACTCTCTGGGGGTCATAGAATGGAGATGGTTCATACCTTACATGCTTTCTGCCATGTGAGGGAATTCAGCCAACCCCCATTTGGAGATCACATTATCCTTGGCCAGAGAGCACATCTGATGTGGGAAGGCATGACAGGGGATCCCCCCGCCCCGGGATTCCCAAGATCTCTGTGTGCTCTGTCTGTGCCGCATAACTGTCTGTATCCTTGAAACTATGATCATGATTTTATTTATTTTGAGAGAGAGGGCGCATGAGAGCAGGGGAGGGGCAGAGAGAGAGGGAGAGGGAGAATCCCCAAGTAGGCTCTGTGCTGTCAGCCGGGAGCCCTACCCGGGGGCTTGATCTCACCAACCGTGAGATCCTGACATGAGCTGAAATCCAGAGTCTGTCACTTAACCGACTGAGCCACCCGGGCACCTCTGCTTAAAAAAAAATTTTTTTTTCTGTTTATTTTTGAGAGAGAGAGACACACAGAGTGTGAACAGGGGAGGGAGGGGTAGAGAGAGAGAGGGAAACACAGACTCGGAAGCAGGCTCCAGGCTCTGAGCTGTCAGCACAGAGCCTGATGCGGGGCTCGAACCCACGAACCGCGAGATCATGACCTGAACCGAAGTCGGACGCTCAACCGACTGAGCCACCCAGGCGTCCCAGCACCCCTGCTTTTTTTGTTTTATTTTAAGTAATCTGTACACCCACCGCGGGGCTCGAACTCACAACCCTGAGATCAAGAGCTGCATACTCTACTGAGTGAGCCAGCCAGGGGCCCCTATTTCATTGTTTTAGAAGCTGCATTTCCCCGATTAATTTTGAAGCAGAGCACGTTTCATATATGTATTCGCCATTTGTAGTTTCTCTTCTGCTAGTTGCCTATTTATATCATTTTCCATTTTAAAATTTTCTCTCTTTTGTATCATCATAAATATTCGCTACAGTCGTCTGATCTTTCTTCCAGGTGATCTAAATGATACCCTTGGCCACACTGGATCCCTAAAAGGCTGCGTTTCAACCATATTCCCTTAGGGCCTCAAAGACTCAGTCTCACTGGATTCTTCCGCGCTTGCCCTTGACTGAGGTTGTTACAACAACAAAACCATATGAAAACTGTCACTGTGTTTGCTCTGAAAATATCAAGGCAACAAATCACGTTTCTTACGACATATCTTCTTTGTGAGTTCAGTGCCAGGAAGAAGTGTATTCACCTCGGGAGTTGTTTGCTTTTGTCTTTTTGATAATAAGACCAGAGTCCTGACTGGCCACCCGTTTGTACCCTGGCTACCAGGAAGTGACCCTGGCATGGGGCTACCGCAGCTGGGTTGGCCCATATGCTCCGAATATTTTGTTTCTTCTCTTTCGCTGGTTGTGATTCGGATTTCGCATGTGCCTTGTTGTAAACTGCCTCGATTCCTTTGTGGGATTCAAGGCTGGAGGGAAGGGCAGGAATAAAGGAGGGAGGGGATGGAGGGGTGCACAGGGCAATCCACTTTCACTTCCTCCCCCCTGGCAGCACAAAGCTCTGGACACAGGCACCACTTTAAGAACTGACCGGGGGGTGGGGGGCGCCTGGGTGGCTCGGTCAGTTAAGCGTCTGACTTCGGCTCAGGTCACGATCTCACGGTCCGTGAGTTCGAGCCCCGTGTCGGGCTCTGTGCTGACAGCTCAGAGCCTGGAGCCTGTTTCAGATTCTGTGTCTCCCTCTCTCTCTGACCCTCCCCCGCTCATGCTCTGTCTCTCTCTGTCTCAAAAATAAATAAACGTTAAAAAAAATTAAAAAAAAAAAAAAAAAAAGAACCGACCGGGGAGACACGTCAGAGCGGCTGCTAATGGTTCCGGTTCTGTCCCCTGCAGAGAAGGGTTGCCCCGTTCACCGCCGCTGCTGGCTCAGCCCAACCTCCCCTTTGGGTACCCGGTCCATGGGGTAGAGGTGATGCCCCTGCACACGGTTCCCCTCCCAGGTAGGTACGTCTCCGTCTGGAGAGGAGCCAGGCAACTTTCATAACCCTTCTGAAGCAAAATTGGGGAGTGGAAGGGGACAGTGAGTGCCTGCTGTGTGCTCAGCACAACGCAGGAATTTGGTGTGATTTCGCTGAATGTCGGTCTCACTGTTTCCGCCCCTGGGAATCACCCTCAGTAGTGGTGACCTCCCAGGGGACCCGAGATGACACAGAAGAGGACAGAAATCTGTGTGCCTCAAGGGCTCTTAGGACATCGTTGGCTTTTTGGCGTCCCGTCACTCATGGGAACAGGCCAAGATGAGCCCACCTCCTGGGACAGCATATTGAAAAGAGTATTTATGTTGGTTAAAACGCCCCTCCAACGAGGGATTTCTAGACACGTCTCTAGTTCGGGACCACATCCCTGTGAGGTAGATGTTACTTTGCCAATTTCACGGATGATTTCCTTTTTTTATTGTAAAATGTGCATATCCTAAAATTTACCGTATCCATCATTTTGAAGCACACGGGGTTGTGGCATTACATTCTCATCGTTCGGCAACCGACACCGTCATCCGTCTCCGGAACTTGTTAATCTTCCCCCACTGAAACTCTGTACCGAATTTAATTTTAAGTCCGTTCCCCCCACTGCCCGTGGCAGCCACCATTCAGTAGAATGTCTTGTCTCTGTGAATTTGACTGTTCTAGAAACCTCATATACAGTATGATCCGTTGCGGCCTTCCCTTCAGTAACAGAGATGCCTGGAAAGTGCTAGATTAAATTCACAGTCCCCGTCCAGTGCTGAGGGTGGGCATCAGAGGCTTTAGAACCACTGGAATTTGAGGACAGGGGACAGCCCCTAACACAACCCCCAGGGAGAGAGATGCCCTGGGTAGGAGGGGACACTGAAGGGATTCTGGAAGGATGTGTAGGATCCACCGGGAGGAGCGTCAGGGAACCTTTGACACCCTCTCAACTGGTGTTTTTTTTTCTCCTTTCATCTGTGTCTTCCAGGCCTTCAGTTTGAAGGACAAGACGCCCCCTTCTATAAGGCAAGTCCCCTTCCCAGCCCCTTTTTGCACTTGGCCTCCTGTCCACACCCTGCTTCCCCAGTGGTGGCTGGTCTCAGATTTTGACAGAGTCTTTATCCAGATTGAATATCTGACATGAATCCCAGGTGGGGAGAGGAGAAAGGGTGCCTCCAGAAGGCATGATTTTCATGAACTCCAGCGGCCGGAGCTCCGAGGAGGACTCCTAAAGACCTGGGCCATCACAGATGCTGCTGCTTCCGCCGCAAGAGGAAGTTGCGACCACAGCCGCGGCCGCGGCCACGGCCACGGCCGTGGTTTCTGTGCATGTTGCCTCTGTCAGGGTGAGCTCCGGCAAGACCGATGCTCCGTGCCCTTAGCCTTCCGTGGCCCGCTTAACACGGCTCCAAATCCAGCTCTCCTGCGCGTAGAGCTGATGGGCTGGAGGCAAAAGACATCCAGAGCCCTAATTTGAAAAGGAGTCTGGGAAATGTAGTTTTAGTTTTCCCACTCTGCATGCCAGAGGTTGGAATGGGTGATGAGTGAGCAAATCTGCAAAACTACTCAGTTCCCGATGGCCTTCCCCCCTCCCAGCAAAGCACTCCCCGCCCCCC